ATTCGTCCGTAATGTGAGAACCTTTGCTTATTTAACACTACACCCGGGCACCGGTGTAGCGGCCCTTGCACACTTTTCACTATATTCAGACTATACAGCGCGTTGCTTCCAGATGACGCTCTAGCACTAACACAATAATCAAAAGGATTCATGTCATGATTTTTTTCGACAAGTTTTACGCTGGCTATCGACTACCTAACGCAACCCTCCACTTTTCGCATTCGGGCTTGGGACCGGCAACGGCAGTGTTAAATAAGCAAATATGAGGAAAATTAAATGTAGGTCAAGAACTTTCAAAATTCATAAGAGATCGTATTTGTCTAGTCCTTCAAAGCTATTTTTAGGATTTTTCCAAGTCCTTCATGACTGTTTCCATAGGGAGTATAATGCTTCATCTTAGAAAATGGAATTATATGACAAATATGAGGAAAATTAAATGTGGTATTTGTCAAATCACCTACACTTATTTTTTTTCCCAACTCGCTCAACATGCCAGCATTCAAGCTTTCCTTTTTATATCATGAGCATTTTTTCAATACAATGGCAAATGAGGAGCATTGTCGTTATGGAGAGTTCACATTCCTATGCCCTGGTTGTCCCGACCGATAATCAATGGAGGGTTGCCAAGAAAGCTCCACTAACAACAATACTTTCAGTGACCTCACCGTCATCATCGATAATCCTAACGCACCAGTGACCTCAATGTCGCTGCCGCCTCCTCTTTAACATTGTAGAGTCATTTGCACTTATACTTCCACAAAAAAATACTGCCATGGTTGTGGGCATTTCCATCTCCAAAAGGTTCATGAGAAGGCAAACATTCCCCTCTTTTATCTTCTTATCTTTTGCTTTTGTCTTCTTACCATCCCTTTGCTTTTAATCATTGGATGGTCACCAGCCAATTAGAGATTTTGGTAAATTGGAATAGCTAGAGTGGAGAGAAAATGTCTAGATTCAGGCCAGCAGAAAGAGAGCCTTGAACTAATTAATATGATTCATTATGTTAATCAACCCTATCAGTTTGTCAATTATCTAGAATTTTGGAGTATATGTTAGCATAGTGATTAACTTAAGAAGAATTACTTTCACGTCCAAATTAAAATTTATGATGAATTATGCAGACTGTTAAATTATCTAGTTATTTCAAATGTGAAATCCTTTAAAATGATCAAATTTCAAATAATATATTCTAGATTCGTGCAAAAAAATTGAATATAAGACTAGGGACATTATTTCATAATCTCGAGTGCAATTTACTTTCATGATTATTTAATATCACCTCATCCTACACAAATAAGCACTAGAACTATTTCAAGCCCCACGGGATCTCTCTATAAGTCGATGCAGGTCGTAATAAAGGTGAGTGTGTTTCACCTGACTGAATATATCTCCAACACCCATTCTGGTGACATACCGATATAGAGTGGAAGATAAGCTCAATACCAAAATTCACCTGAAAAAACTCATTACACATGACTCCAATAAAATCAAACTATTTAAATTAAGATGAAGCAATCCAAAATACTTCATTTAAATATATCTAAATAGCATAAGAAAATATACAAAAATTCTTGAAAAAATATAAGTTTTGTCTAATATTTTTTTCTCAAAATTTCTCTTTTTTACAATTGTCATACAGCAAAATATGATCATAAAATTATACTGATTTTACCAGGCCTCAATCTTTTATTTTTCTTTTCCTATAAAAAGATTTATAACAATCTAATGAGCTACAAGGCTCAACAAAATAAACAAATCTAATATAGAACTTAATTACTAAAGAACATTAAATAGCATATGTTAATCATGCATGGGCATACTCATAAACTGAATATAAGTGATCAATATATTAGTATAACATTGAAAAATAAACTTTGATTGCACAGAAAACTTATATTAAAACACTAGTACATTAAGATATTTTGCAAGTAAGTATTCTCAAATATCATGTGCCAGTCAAATATCTAGTACATGAGGATAGAAACATGAATTTATAGGTAAATATTCTCAAATATCCCTGAGGAGAAGATAGGCCTAAATAACTCATGTTCCTAACTTCCTGCACGCAAGATCAATGTTCATTGCAAGTTCATAGCAATGGCAAAATGCACGAGCAAAAAATCAAGACCGAAGCAATACATTAGAGAATAATTTGCATTCACCTGGATTTTCGTTAAACAAAAAAAAAAAAAGGTAAAGTATCCTCTAGGGAACTCAAATTAAAATCATGTCAAAGTTAATGAGGGAACAACTTAACATTAACCTTTTTTCCTCCTAAATGATGAGCAATGGGGTGAAAACCTACAAGCTAGTGGTAGAATTTTAACATTGCCTACAAAAATTTTAGTACTCCACAGTCTCACCTAACAACATATTACTGAACTAAATGATCTCACTCATCAGAAAGCAATTTTATAAGCAATTCGAATATATTTTTGTTCTACTTGTAGCAACATATATATTCCTGTTTACCAAATCAAATGAAAATGAAATAACGTGAGAATTAAACAAAATTATTACTTTTTAAAGTCATCAAAACAGAAGAATAACTTACAATTGTGGGTAACGGAGGAATAATAAGAGAAATAAAAAAATCAGGGTTAGTCGCATCGGTGGTTCCCCACAAGAGAGAACCAATTTCTTCTTCACCCTCAAGTTGCTGTCCCTGAAAGTAAAGAATCTCTGGACATGTTGCACTCTGAACATCCAGGAATTGATCTATCGTTGGATTCATAAGAGTCCGAACCTAGGTTTCAACGGCCAAAAGTTAAGGATGCCTCCAAGCAGAACATCAATGCATACGGGTGGATAGAAATATGTACAGGGAAAACATCAAAGAATCATAACTAGTTTGTCTAAGATTCTTATAAGATCTACCTCAAAGAAACCAGAAGAAGCAATATCAGGAAAGGGATACCGCGTGCCATCACCCCCGACCGGTCTTTCTCTGCCAGATGCATTTCCACATAACACAACAAGTAGGCACTTTTTGATTGGTTCAACCCAAGAATGGAGCATTGCTTTTTATGGGCACAATAAGAGGATTAAACCCCAACTCTAGCTCCTTTAATTATTATACAACCAAGATATTCAACTATTCGCAGGACTCCAAAGCCCAAAATTAAATATAGACGGCAAGTTCAACTCTACCCGCAATACCATATTTTCAGCATGAAGCCGTTGCCTCATCCATTTATTCAAGAGATCGAAGATGAGAACCATTTCAGCAAAGCACGATCAAAACCCTAACGCGAGCGAGCCCTAAATTCTTCCCCGTTCAGTGCATAATTTGTGGTGTGGTTGAAATATCTCCCTTTGGATGAAAACTATCAAGAGCAGCAGAAGAAGAAAAAGAAACAATCGAGCAGCAGGAGAAAAAAGGCCTGCGGGAGAGATTGAAGGGAAGAGAAACAATAGGAAACGAAACAGGTCATTCGACTGAACCCGAAGAAACCGGAATATTCCATCATGATTCAGGTCCAATCAAATTTAGACAAGTGTAAGCCGCTAACTTAACACAATAACGCATCAATATCACTACAATAACATCTGAATAATATGAAATAACCGAGTCGAATCGCAAATCGCAGGAAAACACGCACATTCCTTGAAGCCATGTGTCCGCATATTAGTGGACTTCGAACATAGTTTACCTACGTTAGGAGTCCTGATGTAATACTTGTTCATATTTTAATGCATACCTGACTCGACGTTATTTGAGTGGTATTGAGGTTGTTTAGATGTTATTGCAAATTGAGTTGTGCTATTGAGATATTATTGTGGTATTATTTGGTTGATATTGTGATGACTTTGTGGTAGTATTCTACTGATGTTATTTCAGTATTATTATGGCATTGTTGAGATGTTATTATGATATTATTGTAGCGTTATAAAAAAATTTCACATAATTCTGTAATACTAACTCCGCAATAACACCTCAATAATATCACAATAATACCGCAATCACATAATAACAGCACAAAATTTAGAATATGTGGTGTTATTACAATATTATTGTGGTATTATTTTGGTCTTATTATAGTATTACACAATAACACCCCAATTACATTGCAATAATATCGCAAAAACATCATAACAACATTGAAATAACATCAGTCGAATAACACCACAGAACTCTCGCAATACCACTCAAATAACACCTCAATAAACATTTAAAAATCTGCTTTCATGGGTTAATATTAGTAGATTTCTTTATGTGATTTAGAGAATTGGGTGTTATAAAAGTAAATATAAAGATGAAGATATATGTAGATATGTAAGAATTATGTTTTATGTTCTCTATATTTTCATTTTAGTCATTTACAAACTTACCGCTCAATTCTTGTATTTACATATCTAGCATCTATACGTTAATTTTTACATTTATATCACCACAAAAATTTATATCACATAAAATATACCATCATTTTAATTTTTAAAAATTGAAATAAACATTTTCATCCATAAGATAGATGGCGTGTATGATAAAATTAATGTTTAGGTGTTAGATATGTAAATACATAAGAATTAAGTGGTATGTATGTAAATCTTTCTTTCATTTTTTGGATAACTAATAGTCAAATACCACCACAGTCAACACAATATCACTCAAAGAATTCAATAATAATACATCAATAATACGTCAATAACACCACAATAATACAACAATAACACATTAATAATGCTGAAATAACAACAGTCGAATATCACCACAATCGTCACAATATCTCTCTAATAACATCATAATAATATTGCAATAACATCAAAATAACATTGCAATAATATCAGAATAACACCATATATTCTCATATTTGTGTTATGTTTATTTTCATTTTGGGCATTTAAAACATATCACCCATTTATTATATTTGCATATCTAGCACCTATACTTTAATTTTTACATCTATATCACCAAAAATTTTTAAATCACAAAAAATAACATCATTTTAATTTTTAAGACTTGAAATGAACCTTTTTAGCCATAGGGTTGATGTCATGTATGAATAAATTAATATTTAGGTGTTAGATATGTAAAAACAAAAGAATTGAGTTGTATGTATGTAAATTTTTCTTTCTTTTTTTGGTTAACTAACACAACCTAACTTGCAATAACATATAAACAATCATAATACCACTTAAATAACGTCACAATATTATCACAATAACATCGCAATAAAACATTAATAACGCCACAAAAATATCTCAATAACACCTCAATAACGTCACAATAATATCGCAAATAATATTATAATAACACTTCAATAACATCACAATAATACATTAATAATGTCACGATAACATTGTAATAACATCTCAATAACATCACAAAATTACTGCAATAACATCATAATAACACTATAATAAAATATCAATAACACCTTAATAACGTTGCAATAAACCTCAATAACGTCACAATAACATCGCAATAACACTACAAAAATACCTCAATAACACCTCAATAACGACACAATAATATTGAAATAACATCAGTCCAATACCACCACAGAGCCACCGCAATACCAATCAAATAACATCACAATATCGTCTTAATAACACTCTAATAACACTATAATAATACCACAATAATATCATAATAACACTGAAATAACACTAGACTATAATAATACCACAATAATATCATAATAACACTAATTGAATAACACAAAAAAATCGTCACAATACCACTAAAATAGCACCTCAATAAACATTTGAAAATATGCTTTTAACAGTTAATATTAATAGATTTTTTTTATGTGATTTAGAGATTTGGGTGTTATATAAGTAAATATAAACACTAGATACTCCATAGGTAGATATGTAAGGCTATTTTGTATTTATGTTATGTATATTTTCATTTTGAGCATTTACATTTATACCACCAAATTCTAGTATTTATATATGTAGCACCTAAACTTTAATTTTTACATTTATATCACCTAAAAAATACCATCATTTTAATTTTTAAAAATTGAAATAAACATTTTTATCCATAGGGTCAATGTCGTGTATGATAAAATTGATGTTTATGTGTTAGATATGTAAATACATAAGAATTGAGTGGTATGTAAATCTTCCTTTCATTTTTTTGATAACAAACAATTGAATATCACCACAGCCGTCATAATACCACTCAAATAACATTATAATAATACTTCAATAACACATTAATAACACCACAATAATACAATAATAACACTTAAATAACAACACTAGAATACCACTGCAGCCGCCGTAATGCCACTCAAAAAACACTATATTAATACGCAATAACATCTCAATAACACCTCAATAATACCACAATAACACCATATGTTCTAGCATTTATGTTTTGTATATTTTCATTTTGGGCATTTACCTACATATCACCCAATTCTTGTATTTACATATCTAGCGCCTATACTTTAATTTTTGCATCCATATCACCAAAAATTTTTATATCACATAAAAAATACCATCATTTTAAATTTTAACAATTAAATTAGACATTTTCATCCATAGGATTGATAGCGTGTATGAAAAAATTGATGTTTAGGCATTAGATATGTAAATACATTAGAATTTAGTGGCATTCACATAGATCTTCATTTCATTTTTGGATAACTAACACTGCTCAACTTGCAATAACACCTAAATCGCCGCAAATACCACTTAAATAACGCTGAGTCATGCATTAAAATATAAAGCTTTTTATTTTTTATTCAGTGGGTCCGCCATTTACTCATGACAAAATTTCATTGGAGTTCGGACACATAAATGCTTTCGGACTCATGATGCAATATTTTTTCAAAAAACCGAGAAGTTTGTCAATTATTTTTCTAGTATTATATGTTTTTATTGTTTTGTACACCACGCCATAAAAAGATAAGTTTGATTTTAAAAAAAATCATATATTACTTATTAAAATTTTGAGAGTAAAAAGTTTGAAAAAATTTTAAAAGGGCAAGAAAAAAATTAATTAGAAACTTTTAAAATAAATTTAATAAGAGCAAAAATGCACCTGAAAAAAGTGTTTAAAGTAAAGTGCTAAATATAAATGAGTTTTACATGAAACACATGTACATCATATGTTTATGTTAAATGTATTACATCATGCGTTTTACACGAAATACGTCAATTTTTATGTTTTAACCACCTCCTCCCTCCTACTCTTTTCCTATAAATTAAGCCCCCCTCACAACAGTCTCTCTCACTCTCACTCACACACCGCTGAAAGACCCCTCCCTCTCTCCTTCCCATTTATATACCCCAAAATTTTCATATCAAATTTCTCTCTATTCTCTCTCACTCTCTCCCATATCTCTCTTTTTCCTCCGCCCTCTCTGATTGGTACCTATCATAACTTAGCACCTTTCGATGAACTATTTGAAATCTTAAATAGGTATTATAAATTTTAGAACTTGAGTTTTACAACAAAGTAGCACTACGTACTAGGGGTTTCACACAATAATAAATATCGTTTAAGTAATATTGGATTATTAACTCTGGATTATCGATTCCATAGAGAAGACTATGATTTGAGCTTAAAAATAGTTCTAGTCTACTATAGTGAGTCTTAGCCTGAAAGTATAGTTGATCCAAGTTATGTCTGTTAATCCTACTAAACTATCACTAATCCTATTGAATTACTCCTAAGTTAATTCTATTAAAGTTAATTAAATTGAGAAAGATCAAGATATAAAAAACCACCCTTCCCTTGCAATGACATAAGTAATGTGTGTCGGAATGTAACACTTAGAACTGAGATTGTAGTTAGTGACAGATAGGACCAATCCTCTTTTTTGCCCTCTCCCAAATGCTTAAAGAAGTTTAGTTGAAACTTGGTTAGTGTTTCTGTCTATCACCCTAGGAACCCCAATTTGAACCCATCAATGTGTATTTCCTTATCTATTTACATTGTCTTATAGAATATTTTTCCTTCACCCACTAGTGCAATCTGGTTCCTAGTTGTTCAAGTCATATCTCTCTCGAGTCTTTATGGGTTCACAACAAATTTTAACATATCACTTGGCCAGAATAATAAGTAAATTAAGTACAAAGTAAAACCATCACTTTAATGAATAAAAACTTATTCTAAATTTAACCAAATATCCTACACATATTACTAATTCATCACAAGAGAAAGGTATAAGGGATCTACTCACAATTTGTTATGTGTGGTGTGTTCTAGTTTATGATGGATCCTCAGTTAAACCTGTAAAAGGGAATAGTCAAGGACAAGCCAAATATAACTGTTTTACCCTTAAGGTGTTTAATAATTATACTGGAGAGTAGTTATCCTGACTAAACCCTATGTTTATTCAGCCAATGGCTGGACCTATGTGGTTGGTTGTTGTAAATTAATAGTCCACGGACCTGGGAAAGGAAACCATTCTTTTTAGGCATTCAATAAATTATACTATTGGAAAGATTACCCATTGATCAATCCTACATGTTTAAAGTGTT